GTTAAATATAATCTAAACATAGTGTTGAAGTATAGCGGTAAAAAGTTGAACTCACTCTCTTCTCTTACATAAATCTTAGCAGCAGGTCATTACACATGTAATAGGCACATGGAGATCGTGTTATCAACGACGTGACACAAGTTATTGATATACGATCAAATATCGTATATCAATAACGTCTCGTTATAATTCCTTATCGTACTTCTGGAGAATAAAGTAAAAGAATGGTGAAGAAATGTGTCCCAAAATAGATAAAATAAAATAATCTTCCTATCATTAGCAACAGAAACTACATTGTATTTCACGTTTTAAACCCACAGGAATTGTACTAACAGTTTTTTCTTCCATATCGCTTACGAAGGAAGGTTCTTAAGTGATAAATCACTTTTAAGTTAGACTTATATTCAAGCGATAATATCTAGTGAATAAGTAAGTCTCTTAGAGCGATTTGAGCTGTTTGGCCTTTATTGCTAAGTTATCGAATATTCGATGGACTTTTCCTGTAGGACCTTATTTTACAAGCGAAATTATATTTTGTATTTATATCTAACACTTAGTTCCCATAAAGGCATCGATTAGTGTAGTTCGTAGAAGAATTTTTTCACTAAGTCTCTCCAAGTTATGAATTTTTTTCAAATATAAGCGCCATCGCATGATTATTGTAGAGGATATGATTAATTTGAAAAATTAATATCTTAGGGATACTGGCAATAAGTTCAAAAATTTTCTCCACAAGCTAATCTAATCGGTACCTTCATGTTGGCAAAATGTTAGATCAAAATTAAGAAGTATGATTTCGCTTGAAAACTAGGGACCTATTTGAAAAATTCACTAAACATTTGAAATCTCTGCAATAGAAGCGTGGCAGCTTGAATCACTCAAGGGTTATTTACTTAATTATTAGTCTCTATCGATTGAATACAGTCCCAATTCGATAGCAACGTATCATTTGGTGACCTTTTCTTGTTAGTAGAAAATTTTTGTCGCTTCCTACCACACAAAAGAATATAACAAGTGCTCAAGCAAATGAAAATTTCAGTTGTATTCGAGAAGAGACCACTAAATAATTTCATGAATTGAATCAAAAATCTCCTGAATTTTTGAAATTTAAATTTGGCAACCCTAATTAGAATCTAATTACCTTAATGTCAATAATAATTCTGATAGTGCTGATCGTAAATCTCCTGCTATGGTTTGTTTGACATCGTCGTAAAACATTTGTTTGAAACTATAAAAATTACATTGGTTTAATTAAGTAAAAAAGATACAGAAGAAAAAGAAATGACAGACCATGTCATGACTTTCTGACTAACAATTGACAAACGAATAGTTTGTTGTGAGTAGGTGTCAACTGGTGGTAATATTATAGCAGATGATGATGTTGTTTCCTGTTAAATAGATTAAAGCCATAAATAGCACTTGACAAAGTTCATACCTCTTTTGACACATCACCTTTTCCAAAGAAAAATTCTTTTACTTTAATTTCATATTGATTTTCTTCTTTTGTTTTTCGTAATTCGTCCATTGTTGGAAGTTTTTTTTCAGCTCGCGATCCATCAGCTGATATTATATCTTCAACATCAAGTTTATTTACTAATTGTTGATATCGTTCAGTATTAATCGATGTATCAGATATCATTGTATTATTTTGTAAATAATCTTTTGTTCTATTTGTTATCCATTCATATAAACAAGTTATAACAAAATTAATTGTTGTATTGTCTGTTCGGATATAATCAGGTAAAGAAATTTGTTTAAGTTTTGTTTCAACTAAGGTTGGTTTTTGTGAGAGTACAGCTCGAGATTTATAATATTTATCACGAGCTATTTGTAATTTTTCAAATTCATCATCATCACTATCAGATGATGATGAAGATGATTCACGAAGATGAGGTATTTTAGGCATTGATCGGTTATAATTAGATTGAGAAATAACCGTACTACTATCATGTTGTTCTTTACTAAATAGTTTACTATGATAAAAAAGAGTAGTGATTTTAATGTTTTATTTTACTTTAAAGTTTCATGTGTTAATAATTCAATTTTAATTGGAGTATTCCCTTGTTGTTGTTGTTCTCGAGCCCAAACAGGTGATGTAGGAATTTGTCGTTCAAAATATTTTGAAGATTTGTAACAAAATGTTGAACAAAATAACTGAGAATAGAATTTTTAATTGAAAAACTTATTGGAAATTGTTTTATTTTAGAGTTTTTTTTTACCCGTCGTTCTGTTGTATCAATTACTTTATTCACTTTTACATTAATATAATATTGATGAGTTGGTATCTAAAAATTGATGATAGGTTTGATCAATATTTTAGAATATGTAATTAATATACATCTTTTGGTAGTGATGTGGAACAAATTGGATAGCCACACATTTGTCTCAATGCACGATCCTCATTAACACCTCGATATCGTTCTTGATCGATCAGAATAGCCTACACAAGTATGTTGATTAATAGAAAACACTAATAAAATTATGTTTACCGCATTAATCAATGTTTCATGATCGATTTTGTCTTCTTCAATTAATTGCATACATATATTATATGCTTTCTTTTCACAAGCTTTTCGTTGTTCAATTTTAGCTCGGAATGCATCAATTTTTGTTTGTTCTGCTGTCGCCATCTGAAATATAATCATGAATAGAACATGTACAAATAACAAAGAGAGAAAATTATCTTTCAAAATAGATCAAACAACAACAACAACAAAAAGAAACAAAATAATCTGACTACTAGAGTTGAATCGAAGGTAGAATACATTGAAGTGTAAAATATTCTGCAACAATACAAATATGTAACATGCTATTATTACAAAAATCTAAATAAAATCAATGGAAAATGATACAGAAATGCAAACTTTTCACATACTAAAAACCATTTTTTCAGCATATGGTTGTTGTGAGTGAAGTAATTGACCAAATTTCTTAATATCTAAACGTACTTCAGCCATATCAATAGAATTTGTTGATGATGAATTTGATTGTTGTGTTATTGACATATCCCATTGAGATCGATCACCACTCGTAGGTTCTAAATTGATAAGTATTTCGAGTTTTTGTGAAGGAAATAATTTTCCAACCTGCTCTAGATGTTTCTTGAAGGCCAGTAAAATATGTCGCCACTTGTGCAGTATCTGTTTCAATTTTTACTGTCATATCACCAGACTTATTCGCTTGCAATGTCTACAGAGAATACTATAAATTCTTCTTTTTCTAAATTGAACTTACAACAAAATTACACATAGCTTTCATTCGATCGATAATATTTTTTAATGTTTTTAATTTAGGCATTGTTATACTAATCTAAACAGAAAAACGATTTTAATTGTTTCTCAAGATTGGATTTATTTTAATTTTTTTTTTGAAAAATATACATGTATTTCTATAGATTAGAGTTAAGACAGATCACATGATTATATAAATATCACAAGTACGATCTGTCCCTAAGGTTTATATTTATATATAATATGCCTGAGCAATTATTCCCTATAACATGCCAAGAAGGTTGACCTTTATGTGAGTATCAACACTCATCATAACAACAATAACAACATCAGCAACAATCCTCGTAGCAAGTATTGAGAATACAACGGCCCATCAATTCTAAGCTAATCAAGTGATGAAACAAAGTTATCCTTATCCTTCAATTATCGTCATTTTAACTAGAATCGATTGATTTATCATTGAGTTTTTCTATTTCATTCTAGTCGATAATACAACAAAAATTTGATCGAATATTATTCATTATGTATTCTATCAATGCATCAATATTATTTTCAATCGTTTTAATCGAGAAATATTCTAAAGAAAAGAATGAAAATTCGTTTTTTTGTCTTGTTGATTTTTTTATTCTTTTTTTCATCATCGTTATACATTGTCCTCGAAATATATTGACGACAAGCGTTGACTGCGCTTGACACTAGATTTCCTATCTTTCTTTATATGTATACAAGCTTGTGTCTCTATCCATAGGGAAGTTCCTTGCACTATTATTTCTCATTCTTCCGATGACGGTAATAATCCACCGTCATCAGTTCTCTTCTTTTTTTCTCCTATTCCTTTGCGGCAACCATACACGCAATGCGTTTCCTCAGCGCTCTCTCTCTCTCTCTCGCTCTTTTTTCCTCGTTTCTTTCTCTTTTTGACTAGTGCGTGTCGTTCGTATTCAAAGATGGCAAACTCCAGACTAGTTACATAGGCAAAGTATAGTAGGCGAACTAGAACGTTTTTTGTCGGTTGAAAGAAAAAGAGACATTGATAAATATACAACTATAACAAGAACTTATTCGCTTGTTCGTCGAGTCTCGTCGTGTCACCAGTAAATTGTCTCGGATCCCGATGGCATTATTTTTTTTTGCTTGTAAAGAACTACGTAAGAAAAATATTTTTTTTTGGAAATATTTGACAGATCAATAAATTCATTGTGTAAAATATGAGGGATATTAATAATCTAATGTGTAATAAGAAACGTGCCTTGAATTATTTCGATACGCCGTCAAGGTCATTGAGACGTCAGTGAGAAAATAATGATTGATATAATAAAAAAAAAAAAAAAAAAAAAGAGAGAATCAATAGTGACGTCAACATTAATCGGCATTGCTATATACTTCGCATGCTGAATAGTTAGAAACGGCAAAAACAAATAGTGTTTCTCTAGTTCTACTCTATGTTGTTCTTTTCTTGCTCTCTATCTTATCATATCAACAGAGAAAATATCCGGAAATAACTTTAATCATTTGAGTATGTCAACTCGAATGACAAAACAAGAAACAATATGATTATAATGTTACTGGAGTTTTCTTAGTGTATTTTTCGTTTTTTGTCTTTCTAGTATATTCAACTCTTATCGTAAATCGATACTTATGAGCTGTTATTCAAGAATATTGACACTATGAGGAAGAATGCAATGGTGCATCGCAGTGCCTTTTGCTTCTTCCCTTTCTTTGTCTACTTTAGTTCCTAATAATAATTTGTTCTCATCACTTATAATAACGATGACTTTTATTCTCAATGTTATTAATTCACCATCATCCGTCCATGCATTATCTACATCAGCATGTTCACCATATTTATTTTCAATCAATACCGATATACGTACAAATAATCAATACATTCGACCATGTCCAGTATCAACACCTTGTCAATGTATATGCGATATTGAAAGTAAACGTTTATGGATTGATTGTTTTTATCGAAAATTAACATCAATGCCAATATTTCAAAGGATTCCAACAAATAATACAGTTATTGAATGGAATATTGATTTAGCATTTAACTTATTTGATACGGTATCATTTAATAATAAAACAAAATGGATACCTGATAATATGCATATACGTCATATGGTGCTTTCTAGTTCACTTGCATATGATCTTATTGTACAATTAAATTTATCTCATCGACATTTAATTGATATATGGCCTAGTCAACAACATTTACCTATTATTGATGATCAATTTCAGCTATTTGATGATTATGAATACGATAAGTCTGAGGAGGAGGTAAAAAAAGTTTAACAAGAAAACAAACAGAGAAAATTTTCTTTTTGAAATAGGACAAGAAAGATATCAATGAACTCTATAAATTGAAACGTTCAATAATGTCATCAAATGCTGAATATAAACATCTTCTAACTGAATTAACATTAAAACTACGAGAAAAAACTAAACGAATTAATCTATTTAAATTATCATTATCCGGTGAACCTGCACCAATATCAAATCTTTATCTTGATCATAATTCTTTTGATTCTATACCCACTCAAGCTTTATATAACGCAACAGGTTTATATGAAATATATTTATCATTTAATAATATAGCTGAATTACCAGCATTTGCATTTGGATTTTCTCATCGTCTTACACGTATCGATTTATCACATAATAAATTAATATCAATAAGTAATTTAACATTTCAAAGACATCCAAATGCATTTGCTGGTCCATTTCTTATTGATTATCTTGACTTATCACATAATCAATTAACAACATTAGAAGCAAATACTTTTGCTTATCTTGTTAATTTACGTTTACTAAAATTAGAACATAACCAAATACGTTCAATATCTGCACACGTATGGACTGGTTTATATCGTTTAAAATATCTTGATTTATCACATAATTATATAGAAAATTTTACTCAAGCTTTTTATAGTGGTTATCTTAATGAACTAAATCAATTGAAAATTACATCAAATAATCTAAGTCAAATAGGTCCATGTGAATTTTTATCACTTAAAAGATTATCTAAACTTAATCTAAGTGGAAATAATATTACAACAATTGATACTTGTTCATTTTATGGTCTTCATCATACAACAACTTATTCATCATTAAATGTACATTTACGTTCAAATCAACTTGAAACAATTCATCCATGTACATTTAATAATTTTGCACGTTCAACAATTCATTTAGAAAATAATCCATTAATATGTAATTGTTCATTTAATTATTTATTACATAATCGTCAATCACTTGCTTATACTGGGCAAGAATGTCTTGGTGGATTTTTATATCAATCACAACAACAACAATTAACATTACCTGCCGTCCGTAAAACAAATTCAACATTAACTAAAAAGCCGATTAATGCTTCAATGCCATGTCAAGATTCATATACATATTATAATGATCTCTGTTCAAAACTTGATTGTTCAAGTGAATGTGCACCTAATGAACGTTATATTATTCAAATAACAACAATACCAACACCAAGTGGAACAATATTTATCTATCAACCAACAGTCGCTTCTATGTTTATTGTTGTTTTTGTTCATTATAGTCATTTTTTCTCTCTTGTATAAATTGTGATATTCAAAAAAAAAAAAAGAAAAGAAAAGCATTTTACTTACATCACATCGAGGAATATTTGGAGCTTGAAAGTCAATCCTAAAAAAGAGCGGAATAAATCTTTCTGTGTGAAAGGAAAAAATATTTACCAATGTTTATGGGCTAATAAATGAATAGGTATATCACATGTAAATTGTCGTTCAGTCATTGATGATGAAATCTAAAGATGTTTTAATGGAAAAAAAAAAGAATCTTATTTTTTACCCATTGTGCTAATAATAAAAAAACATACAACTTCTGTATCAATACTTAAACATGGACTATTATGTTTTTTAATTAAACGAAGTCTCAGTAATCGAGCTGCTTGTGCGGGTTTAAGTGCACGTACTAATTCTTCAAACATAATTTCGATATAAATTTCATTTGCTAATGGTGATAAGCCATCCATAATATAATCATCAAAAAATCGAATTGGATCAAGTTCAATCCATAACGAAACACCACCACCAAATGATTTATCACCCAAAATCAAGAATAACTTATCAGGTGTTAATCGAAGTACACCGGATTTAGCCATTTTTGATATACCGGTTATAATTTCTATTACAAACGAAAGCAAAAAGATAATCATGTGCTTCATTTTTCTTTTGAAAAGCTTAATATTCTTTCTTTTTGCATGAAACTAAAAACAATGTAGAACACAGCTTGAAGCTATTTTTATGTTGAATATCAGTGAGATTCTCTCTAATTAATATTAAAACATACTTGTAAATTTATTGATTGTAGTACTATTGTGTAATTTGGCACGAAATTTCATTGTTTTAAGTTTTTATAAAGTTACAACAAAAAAATTTATATATATCTAGAATATAGAAATTAAACTGAATTATGTGTATTTATGGTAAATAATCGTGACCACCACGATGTATTAACAATATTGCGTTGAAAAACACTATTTAAATAACTTTTAACAAGTTGAAAATCTTTTTGTAAATAAGGTTTAGCTGCATTAACAAAATCAAAATCTGGATCAAGTTGTCGACCAATACCTTCAATAATAATTGTTCCAAGAGCAAGTGTTGTAAAACTTGATTCCATTTTAATGTGATATTTTTTTCCTAAATCTAATACATTATGTAAAACTAATCCAACTTCAAGTTGTTTTAATGGAGTTTTAAGAACACTATCGATTAATTTCGACATATCTTTTCGAAAACCAATTTTTGATTGTTCGTCAATTTCATTAACATTTGGAGCACGTTCTATCAATAATGTTGCCGCTTCTGTAGCATCATAATTTACTATTGCACGAAATAAATCATAAAAATTCTTTTTATCTCTTCGATTAAGTGAAGATGTTAAACCAACATCAATCAGAATTATAGTTGGTTCACGAGGTGAATTTTCATCAAGACGAACAAGAATATTGCCTGGATGAAGATCTGCATGAACCTAGAAATTAACAAATCAAATACAATAGTGTTGCTGACGTAATCAGACCAGAAAATCTTAACGAACTTTTTTTTATTATAACTTGAATCATATTAGATACCAACATTGAATACAATTGGAGTCATAAAACTTATTATTGGCTCTTGAAAATAGCTCGAGAGCGCTAGGATTGAAGAGGAAAAGATGAATTAGAGGATCGATTGGAAGATTTTTGCTAAAGTTGACCTGATTTCAAATAGGGTAAGCGCATTTTTTCCGGAATTAGGGAGTAAAAACAAAATCAATAAAACACTGGAACTTCGGTGGGAAAAAAATGCAAAGTTTTCAAGATTGTAGGCGGGTCAACTCGTTGTCTAGCTTAAGACATTTCTGTTTCCTCGTCTATTAGTTTATCTATTTGAAGAATGTTTACATTGATAGGCTCATATATCAGACTTAGATGAAACGTAAAAATCTCCTGAAAAATATTCAAGCCTATTTTTACACCAAGAGACTATTCTCGTTATCTTCATATTTTTCTGTTTCAAGCAATAGTTCTGAGAGTAAAATAGGTTAATATTATTAAATTGTTCACTTTGAATACGACGAAAGATTCAATGGAATTTTGAAATTTAATGAATAATATATTTTATGAAGGAACATTCGCAGATATTGTTCGATTTTGAGCTCAACCTAAGTGCATCTTGTAGGCCTTAATGAATATGTTTAACGTAAAAAAGAGTTTGTACACATGCCTTGTTTCTAATCAGATCGAATATTTTTACTGAAATTCAGCTTTAGACCTCTATATTTATAACAAGGGTATATTCTCGAATTTCGACTTCAAACTTTGTATAGAGACACACCATAACGAGAGTAGTATATTGTGACAGTTTCAAGTCTTTGATTTACTTCTATCCTGAAATAAGAACATTGAAATTTCTGCCGATGTATATGAGCAATGTACAACACACACTATTACCATGGTTGTAGTTATGGATAGGTACAGCAAAAAGACGTGAAACATTCACAAAAAAAAACTATTTTTGCAAAGGCCTGACTCTATGCAGATTTCCAAGTCAATATTCAAAAATCAGTTTTTGTCTGATGCTCTTGAAAGAAATCACGACATTTATTTAAAAAATTATCGTAAAAGTGAAGTATTTCCATAGCGATAAGCTAAGAATACGAATTCTTTTCAGATAATTCATAGCTTATTTAAATATACATGATGCACATCGGCTCAAGTCAAAATTGATTGAATAGCTGGTTTTAGCGAACAACTGATAATTTTTCCTGGTTAAATACAGCTTATAAGGTTGAACTTACGAAATTATCAACAAAGAGCATTTTTAAATAAGCATTAACACCAAGATATGCCAATTTTTTTCTAATTTTCGTATCTCGACATGTTTTCATAAACTCATTTAATAATTGTCCATTTTCATAAGTTTCAAAAAGAATATCTTTTGTTGATGGTAATGATGGATCAACATGTGGAAAGCGTATATTTGATTTATATTTTTGAAAATTTCTCTCAAAAATTTGTAAATTTTTTGTTTCAATCATTAAATTTGTTTGTAATAACATATTTTTAGTAAATGATTTAATATTATCTTCAATATTAAGCCATTTAGATGTTTCTTTTGATATAAATTTCGTTAATAAACGTGCAAGAGTATTTAAAATTTTTAAATCATAATAAATTTCATTTTGAACACCAGGATGACGAATTTTCATTATTAAATCACGATTACCAATTTTACATCGATAAACTTGTGCTATGGCACCACTTGCTATCGGCTTTGAAAGTAAATCGAATGATGACGAATCGATATTTATATTATTCTCACGTAATAACTTTCGTGTTGCAAATTCTGAATGTGTTGGTGCATTAGAATGAAGTTCATTAAATATTGAACAAAATTGATCAGAAAATAGATCAGGTCGAGTTGCCATCCATTGACCAAGTTTAATAAAACAAGGACCACAATATTCAAATGATCTAAATAATTTATAGATAAATTTTCATTGAATATTTCAAATAGAAAACTTTACCGTCTAAGTGCAAAACACCATTTGTCATATAATTGCGGAGCAAATTTGTCTTGAAAAAAATAATAAATAATAAGAGGAGTTAAAATAATGACAAGTTTAAGTGTACGAAAGAATAAACGTATAGGTACAATAAAAGCTGATGAACGATTTAAATACAGTTCTGAATTAAGTAATTGTTGTGTCTGTGAAAGAAGTTTATCAAGTTCAGATTGAGTTACTGACTCAGTATTTTCATCAAAATTTTCTTCGGGTGATTTGCCTTTGTTTATCCATAATTGAATTTGAGAGAAATCTCTATAAATGATATAACCGATCGGTACACCAGCAGAAACAACACTAAATGCAATAGTTAATGGCCAAAAACGACGATACCATGGACGTATTTTACCACGTCTAGGTAATTCAAATAAATGACGATAAGAATTTGAAGGAAGAATAAGACGTGGGTTGTGAAAACATAATGAGCTACGACGAGTTAAATGAATAGTGACACGGGAAAACATAATAAGACAAAGAATAGTCGTAATAGATGCAATTTCTATAAAATCTTTTGATAGATAAATTTGGATCTATAAAAGTATTTAATGGATTGGGAATTCCGCATTAGAATTGATAGATGTCTACGTAAGTCGGCAATAAGAAAATAAGCTATGTTTTTGAAATATTGTATTATCAAACTTTATCGTAAAACCAATGAAGAAATTAAATAAAAAAAAGAAATATTTGACTGCTTGTTGAAACTCGCTTGTTACAATGCAGTACTGATTTTTTTTTAAACTTAAGCATTAGACTCTGAACGAAAGACATAGTTTTAAACAACTCTTAATAACATTCATCTACTCATTGCATTGGTACCAATTTAATTTTACAACATTTCATTACTATATAATTGTTCTAACCGAATATCTGTAGTTAATGATTGCATGATTTTCTTTTTCGCAAGACTTACTCATCTAAATTGTACTGAAAATTTATAGAAATAGCAAAAAAAAACGACATATCTATGCAAAGTGATGTAATGAAAAGAGAACGTTTTTTAAAAAAATTTTCACACACTGATTGATCCTTTTTTTTATGAATTTTCTCTTTGCAATAAGACCAAAACGTCTTTTAAGATTTCTTTACTAAATACCATCCTTTTAGACGAAATATTCAACTCAATCTTGTACTTAATCATTTATCTTTCTCTATAGTCGTTTCTGTTTTTAAAAGCATGTTTACAAATAAAGAATGGCAAATAATTCATATCTTTTCTTCTCTATTCAGAGAACACATCGGTTATTTTCTTCTTTTTTCTCTCTTGAATTTGATGACAATTAAGTTGGCAAAAACAAGAATACATACAACACAAGTACAAAAAAACAAAAAAAAGAAAGATGGTAGTCATTTATGACTGTCTTGCTGAATAATTTGTTTTGCTTGTGTGTATGTATATTTGCATAAAGTTTAATCTTCATCGGCATCATCATCGTTGCCACCCTTTTCACCTTTTTTCATATTTTTTCGTTTAACACGACCTATAGAA